ATTCAATTTCCTTCCGTGGTAAAACGTTAGGCATTTCATGCTATTCAAACAAAGTCAAAACAAAGCCTCCAAATAAGCACTTCTGAAATGTACCTAGTCATCTGAGTAATTAGACATATTCCCAGTTCCAAATGTGCTGAAAATCTACTGTCAGCTCCCAATGAATGTGCCAGCAGTTATCCTAACAAACAAGAGTTCTCTCCATGGAATAGGAGGTTAAGATACATTTCAAGTAACATCTCTCCCTACCTGAATTAATCAATGTTTTTAATTATGCAGCATCACCTGAACATAATTATTACTCTAGCAAGTTGTCCACCTTTCTCTGCCAATATGGTGCATAGCTGCCATTGCTCAAGTCAGGACACAACATGCTCTCATTGGCCAAAAGAAACTCCCATTCCCGGTGTAGGCATGCATCCTTCACACCAAGGGGTAAAGTCTTTCACTTCCAAGTGAATTTGCACCAAATACTCGTAGTGAAGAGTCAGCCATGGACTTCACATAGGTCAGAATCCCTCAATACTCAGAACCCCTCAACACTTTGCTAGCAGAGGGAATTACCATGTAGGGGTTCAAACCTGCAGACTGCTGCAGTGGCTCCATGCCCCAGCAGTCCTCACTGTGTCCCTCCTGGTCACAGGAGATAGATCAGTGGAAGAAGATGGGAGCTGGCAGAGAGAGAAGAGCACATAGCCTGGGGCATGGGCAAACTATTAGGATCCACTCAGCTGCTGTGAATCCAAAGTCTCACCCTAACCAGTTTCCATCCCCCTGGGGATGTCCGTACCAGGGCTGGTGTGAATGTCCCAGTGCTGCAAGGCCATGTCACAGCACGCTGAGTGGTCACATCCCCACACCACCAACCTCCTGTTCGAGTTCAGGCGATGTGCGTGGATTCCCTTCACGTTTCCTTACAGAGCAGGCAAACCACAGAGGTGAGCCAACACATGAAATGCTCAGGCAGTGCCCAGTCAACAACCTCAGATCTCCAGCACTGTCTTTTCACAGGTCTGTTCCACAAGCTTCTTCCTTTGTATCCCCAAGGGACACCAGGTCACACCTGTTCCACATCCAGTTTGGTTACAGTATGCTAAAATTCACTTTACAGTTCAAAGCTTAGCAGGAACTTTTACAAGTTTGTGACAATTAAGTCAATAGCCTCAATCAAAACCTACTCTGAAAGGAAACCCACTCTGCTTCCTCTTTCTCCAGCAGACCATTCCAACAAAACTTTTCCCCCCAAGACCACTCTTCCTCTAGACAGCCTCACCATGGTGCTACCTCCTCATGAGGCTCCTTCAGGATAGGACAGTACTGCAACCTTGCCATTCACACCCACAGTTTCATAAAAAAAAAAATGGAAAGTAAAAAGAAACACCACCAAAATCCAGAGAGTAATTCTTACTTTTCATGTACGAGGAAAATGAGGGGGGGAAAAAGTGTTGATTCTCTCACAGCCATGCTGCAAGAAGATCACTCTATTTTTACAGGTGGTAAGGAGAGCTTTATGTAGTGTAACCTTCCTCAAAGGAAAATATTTCAATGCACAGAAGAAAGAAACAGCAGGAAAAGGTAGGCATCTCTTCCTTCTGGTATGCAGTGTATACGCCCAGATAGTGAGACATTTTGAGTCACATTTCTGGGATGACTAAAAGAAAGTAGTTGCATTTCAGAAGCACTATGGTCAAAACCCTCAGGAGCTGAAGACAGAAATCAGAAAATCATTTCTGCAAATGGCAGAAGAGAAAGGAGACCAAGACAAGAGCAAAACACCTCACCTCATGTTTCACTCCAAACACAGAATTATAGGACAACACTGTGACTCTCCACTATTATTCTTCCTTAAGCTTAAACACAGCCTTTTCACACAAGGAAACTCCATGGAAGCACCAAGGCAGCCTTCCAGATTTTGCTGACACCCCACCCAAGCTGAGTGGACTTTCAGTAAATCAACCACTGAAGAAGAGTGTGTTCAATAGCAGCACTTTCGAGATGTCTCTCCCACAGTCCAGCTCCCTGCTATCATCTGGGAAGCATACACACATCCACATGAGGCACTCCACCTCAACACCCACCCACCCAATTTAGGGAAACACAGGCACAGACTGCTCCAGGCACCGCTTTCACCCAGCCCCTCCTGCTCCAGCTTACTGTAGGAGAAGCACCTTAGAAATGGAGTAAGATTTATTGTGCCAAAAAGAAGGGGGAAGGAAGCAACTTTCCCTCCCCAAACACATACTCCTCTTCCATGAATCCTTTGACTTTGTGCCAAGTTCAAACCTCTTCTCAACTGGGAAAGCCTGTCCTGCCAACAGAAACCCAGAGGGGAACTTGTGGAAATCTCAGAAGAGACCAAGGCAGTTCCATGGTATTTGACCACACACCAAGGCCCGCTTTCCTCCACATCCGCCTCTCACGTCCCAACAGACATCTGCTTGGACAACAAGCTCATTTGGGATACAGTTTCCCATGCAGGAGCTGTCATCCCAGTATCTCTCGCTTTAAGATAAAGAATCTTAAAAGTCATTGTGTCATAGGGAAAATCATTACAATTCTAACTTAAAATGCAGAGGCAGTGGTATAACTTCAAGGTTATCAAACTCCTGCCTTATCCAACAGAGAGGTCTGTTGCAAAGCCTGTAATGAAGTGCAAAACATGGACCCAAAGCAGCATCACAAGGCATGATGTTAAGTGCTTAAAAGCAGCAGCATTGACTGGGAACTGCTACAGAATTTGGTGTTTGCCCAGCACACACCTCACTGTGCCATGGAACCAACATCTCCACAGAACCTGCAACCTCAGCTGCTCCTGACCTCGCTTCAGGTTAACAAAAAACACCTGGCACCCACAGCTACAGCTGCAGACCTGCCACACAGTGCACCACACACACAACCCCTGCACGTGTGCCCAGCCCATGTGGGGCACTTCCAGCATGTGGGGCACATCCAGCAGAAAACTCCACATCTATGGAAAGACAGGCTCATTTGGCTGGCAGCAGTGGATGCAGCAGCTGGATGTCTGCTTATCCCCCCAGGCTCTAGGGGAAAAGGGCACCCAGGAACAGCAAACAAAGGTGATGGCAAAAACAGGGCTGAGAGCAGAGGGACCCAGTGCTACAAATTCCCTCATACAAAACTTCTTTTCCTAGAAGGTCCCAAATGCCCCAGTTCTTCCATCAATGCCTCAGCCCAGGCAACCTGAGCACTTTCACCATCCCCTGCTTCACAGCTTCCTTCAGCAACTTCAGGTTGCCCCCCTCAAGCCCCAGCTGTGCCCCACTTGCCCAGATATCCACCTGTCCCTTGCATTCCTCAGATTCCTCCAGGCACCTCAACCACCTGACTCCAATCTGCTGCCCACCACAACTCAAGCACCCAGGACCCCACCCTAATTGCCATCCCGTGCACCCCACCCCCTACGACATCAAGGCAGGGTCAGTGTCCTTACACTGCATTTTCTGGTCATCTACAGATTTGCAAACAAGCAAGCTGTGTTGTGAGCTCGTTTTCAGATCTGCAAGTATCAGCATAAATGATAATGCAGAATGAAAAGTCCTTGACAGTGACAGACATTTGTTTTTTAATTTGTCTAACAGCCATTGTTACGAGGTTGGATGAGATGGAAACCCAACTGCCTTCCTGTAGTCGAGGGTGCAATGGAGAGAACAGTTTTCAGAGCAGCATTACAAGAGCCCTCTGTGTCCTCTGTACAGCAGGGACAATACCAATCACACTGGAACTATAGAATCACAGAATGGTTTGGGTTGAAAGGGACTTAAAGATCATCTAATTCCCATCCCCCTGCGATGGGCAGGGACACCTTCTAGTCTAGTATAAAAAATCAAAAAGCACCAGCTGCTCCTGCAGCTACTCCCATATAGACAAATAACTTCCATAGCAAAGGGACTCCTTGAAGAGGGGCACATTCCCCGCGGTGCCCGTCCCTTTCCAAGACCTCCCATTGCAGGAAAGAAAGGCTGAACAAGACACAGGCAGAGAAAGTTACTGCCCCAAGGCACTGTTAGCACAGATAAGCTGTTATAAATCAAGACCATCTGCAACTGCAGGACTCAGGTTTTCTTCTACCCCACGTTATCTTCCTGCCCGCGATGCCAAAGCACTACGACTGTGGGCAGTGTTTATGTTAAGATAGTTACTAATCCCTGCAAGACAGGGGCATGGCCACCAAGCCCAACCTGCTATCTGGATGGCGCAGAAGACAGAGGGATTTGGGGGGTTCGTAAAGCTTGCAAAGCTTTACATTCCTGCCAGGTCAGCCTGATGACTCTGTTCCCTTTCTGCTCGCTTGGTGCGTCCTCATTTGAAACAAAACAAAAAAAGAAAGATAAAGAGGGGCGTTTCAGAGATTTGCCTTGGGCACGTTTGAATCCTCAAAGGCTTTCTGTTAGAGCCAGGCTTGAAAAGCGCAAATTTTATAAAAGCTGAAAGGGATGCCTCCCATGCGGGCTAAAACCAGCGCAGGCAGGGACCGCGGCCGCGTGTTTACACACACCAGAGGTGGGGAAAGAGCCGAGACGGGGAGAGGGCGGACAAGCGGTCCTAGAGAAAGGGATGCCCACCCCGAGCCCATCCCTGCGGGGCATTTCCCCGCAAAGGCGCCGTTAACGGGACACCCCGCGGGGACGATGGAGCTCGGGGAAGGAGCCCCAGCCCTGCCACCGGCACACACCCCGCGACAGGGTCTGGGAGGAGGGGGACGCTCACTGAGAGGGTGACACCCTCTACACCTGACACAGACACAGCTGCAGCCCTCCCACCCTTTTTATGGCCGGGGGGTCCCTGCACTCCCACACCCACCCCAAAACCCACGGAAGGGGCAGCAGGAGCCGTGCCCGTCACTGCGGCACCGCTGACGGGGTGGGAAGGGACGCTGAAATTGCGAGAAGGTGATGGGAAAGGGGGGTTGAGGAAGCAGCCGAGAAGCCCCGGGGAGGGTGGTGGGGTGGGGGTGTCCGCCCTCTCGGTCCGCGCGTTACCTGGGGACGCAGCTCGGGCTGGAACCGTCGATCTCCCACGTGGCGAAGAGGTTCATAGGCACGGGCCGCCCCAGGGCCCCGGCACCGCCGGGGAAGCTGAGGCGGCCCCGCTCGGCCGCCGCCGCCATGGCTGTGCCCGCCGGCCTGGCGCGCGCCCACCGGGCCGCCGCCGCCGCCCCGCCC